TTCAAAGCATGGAGTCCAGCCCAATTGTAGCAGCTCCTTGGAAGTTGTCTCATGATCAATCAACCTTTTGCTCATCATCACAATGTACTGGCACAGCATTTTCAATATGTTCATTACCTACAAATTAAAACAGAACAGTCAGCTAAAATTTGCAGAAAGAATTAATAAACCTAAAAGATATACCCTATATCCCTTCCAAGAAGTAGTTTAGCTCAAGTGACATTTTGCAGAAAATAAATTTTTTATTTTAAAGTGACATTTTGCAGAAGTTTCAGACAATTAATACAAACGAGCAAGTGACCTCTTTTTTTCAGATTCATTTAAGTCATATATGGCCTAAACTCAGCTCCACTATGTAATGAAGCTGAGGGCACAATCCATAAGAAGATAGTCAACAAACAAAAAATGTTGAGAGTAGAACTGGAAAACTTTACTTTCTTCCCCAATACATTGCAGTGCTTCGTCCAAAAATAAAGTTGAAATTTGTCAAAAGGATAATCACAAGCATAAGTAGAGTTCTTGCATTCCATTTACTCTAACCTTAGATCACCCAAAGAAGCTTAGGCAAGTTATCATACAACACAAAAAAGTAACCTTTGTCATATACTCTGAAATCAGTTTGCACTTCATTTCCATGTCAAGCGCACTGCAAGGTTGAACCTTCACCAAATTGATTCAAGGTCACAAGGGGAGAACAATGAAACAAATAGGTGAAACAACTCGAAACTTTTTAATTGGGTGTCTGTCTGCCTGAGAGTCTGATTGAGATGAACTGGAAGTCTGGAACAGCAAATAAAATTTAATAGAGAATAAAAGAAAATTTAATCAAGGGCAGGAACAGCATAAACAAAATTAAAATGGAGAAAGCAGTGGACTTGAGAGACAAACAAAAAACAGAGAGATGGAGAGAAGAGATTTGACTTGTGTTGAAGAAAAGAAGAGAGGGGCAAAAGAGCAGAGGAAGAAGATTGATTGATTGAGAAAAGGAAAAGGAGAAACAAAGGGGTGAGGAGGACGTCTGGACTCTGGAGATTGGAGTGGGTAAGAGTTGGTGGAGCAGTTCCTGATTTCCAGTGAAGAGTCTGAAGACCACGACACACGTGAATTGATGTAAGAAATAAAACAATCAAAGGATGAAGACATGCATGAACACCATCTACAGTACAAAAATGTAGCGAGCGAAAACGGTAAAGCAAGCTTAAACAATGTACGAAGCAAAAATACTAAAGAAAGCATGAAGATTCTGAAGAATGCATGTTGGGGAAAATAAGTAAAGTATGAAATGACCAGGAAGGAGGCAAGAAATAGCCGGCAACTAATGCAGCCAGAAGGAGGAAAAAGCCAACCAAAACAAAGAAACAAGCATCTGACCTGCAACCAAATTCCTGCCATAACACATAACAGAAGATCAGCTCCATAGCAGCGTCCTCGGAAGAACGAGAATGCCAGAAAATCCCAAGTACAAGGACATCAAATAAAGCTGTAGAAGAGGAAATGACAAGCACAGAAAGATGAGATATTGGAAAGAAAACAAAGAGGCGGGAAAGCCTTTTTTTTTGTTTTAAAATGAGCTCACCACAATAGCAACGGCATACATGGATCAGCATTCATCAGCACGGGAACAGGGGAAAAAGGAACAAAGTCAGCGAATAAAATAGCAAATGCTGCCACAGGTGATAAGGAGAAGCAGTAAACAGCATATAAAACGAAAAGCGAAAAACTGGTGGAGATAATTACCCTGAAGCTGGTCAATAGAAATGAAAGCTCCAAAAGAACAGAGAACGAAGCAGAGGGATAAAGAGCAAACCAACCTTATAGCTGAAACAACAGAACGAAAGAGGGAAAATGATCACCGGATGCATAAACCAACCACAAAGCATGATAGCATCTGCAAAATCCAGGACAGAAAGTATGGAGCAGCTTCCAAAGACGTACGGAGGACAACGTTCGAAAGTATAAGAGGCAAAGAAGGGACGCATGGCTGAAAAGTTACACAGTGACAAAGCATTGTTTTGACATCTATAACCCAACAACAGCTAAACTAAGTCAACCACAAAAAGAAAGTAAATAAACATGTAAGACAAGGGTAAATAGGTAAAACAGAAGTTGTCACATTGACCCAAATACACACTCTAACCTCACCAAAAACCTGACATTAGGTAAAATGGGAAGCAGAGTATTACTATCAGCACTACAAGCCTAACACTATTATTATTATTATTATTATGACCACTATGAGTCCGGTCTTGGGTTCCATTGAAGGAGTTAATTTTTTTCAGCCAGGGCTCGGTGGCTCACAAACGCAATCCACAGGCCAACAATCATGGAGAACGACCACTTTTCAGCAAATCATCAAATGACATGTCAGCAAACAAAACACACCATCGGACAACTTCCTAAGCACTTAGTCTATATATGGTTGAAGAGTTGACTTGAGTCTTGAAAGATAGGTTTGAGAGAAAGTTTCATAGTTGAGATTTATGAGTTGTTGTGAGCGAAAGGTTATTGATATTTATAATTGAGACTTGATATTTGTTATTGTTCGGTTTTGAATTAAATAAATTATTGACTATTTTTTCTCCTCCTTTTCCAATATATTTTTATATGTGATAAAATTGCTTTCCCTATGCACGTGATTTTTGTGTGCCAACATTTTTTAACTTCATTAAAATGTATATCCAAACATAATTTGTTAATGAAGGAAAAGCAAGGAAAGAAAGTAGGATCAATGGTAATTTTATCTTACCCGTTTTGTTTTCATGGGCAAAGAATATGGCAAAAAGTTACTCCCTCCGTCCCACTTTGATAGTCTTGTTTTCCTTTTTGGTCTGTCCCAAATTGTAGTCCACTTTCCCATTAAGAAATATAATGATCTTTCAAATTGTCTACAATACCCTTATTAAATATCTTGTTATTAATACATTGTTATTAAATACTAACCCATTACATTGAATACATTGAGCTTTTCCAATGCACTCTTCGTTATTAGCATAAGGGTATTTTAGGAAATTATTAATCTAAATTTATGTTTCCAACCAAATTAATTACACTTTCTTAATCTGTGTGAAAAAAAAATCAAAACTAAGTAAACGGGACGGAGGGAGTACAAAGTTTTAGATGGGTTTAAACATGGGACGATTTCAGAAACTTCTCCTCAGGTTTCTGAAAGGTTTTTGACTATTTTCACTGATCCCCTCCCGCTTTTAAAAATTACATTAATCTTCCTTGAGGTTTACTATCTTATAATAGGGATAATTTCAGAAACCTCCCTTGAGATTTCTAATAATTTCACTGGAATCCCTTAAAGTTTAAAACATTGCACTTACCTCCCTTAATTTGATAGTTTTAATAACAAAACATTAACATAATATTGACTTGGTCAAATTTTATGTGAATACCTAACAATGTCCCTGTGTAATGGGTTTTAATTTACTTTTTCATACAATTATAAGACTATCTTGTATAATTATAAGGACAAAATACCAAAATTTTCATGTTCATAACTTCTATTTGATAAACAACTATAATAATAATAATAATAATAATAATAATAATAATAATAATAATAATAATAATAATTTTATTACTATGATATAATACTTTTGATGGTATTTTATTATGGATTTAGATTTATAAGATAGAAAATAAAATGTTGAAATAATTCATTTAGAATTTATAAATTTTTGAGGAGTGAGATCATCATAATTTAGTAGTGATTTTGGGCCATTTCTTTTTGATGTGTTGTTAATTTTAATGCCAAAAAATAGAAAACAAAGATCAACAAAAACATTGGATTGCATAGAAAGTTAACTGATAAAAAATTTACTAGTTTGACATTTGGTTACAATAGAAACTATAAGTAATAGTAGTGTTAATTCTACAGTTTTATTGGAAAAAATGTTTTAAAAATGAATAAGAAGGAAAAAGTATGAAAAATATAATTTTTAAAAGTCATTTTAAATATAAACATACCAAACAAGGGAATTTCATTAAAATATTTAAGGGTAGTATTGTCATTTTAAATGATGAGAGAGATATGTATAATTTTTAAAACCCGAGAGAGCTAAATGAAATTGTCAAAAAACTCAACGGAGGTTTTTGAAATTATCCCTTAGAATATTTAGGTCCAATTAACAATTAAAAAATGATATTAGAACAGAGAAGATAATATGATTTCACCATTATCACTCATTTACTAAATTGTTTAATTAATCTAATATTTGCCCAAATACTAAAGAAAATATTAGAATTTGTTGTTATCATCAGTAATTAAATCACATATGGTATCAAAAATAGTGTATCATTTTATATATTTTACTTATTGTAAGATCTCAATTGCACATTTCAGTTATAAAATCCATTATCATACATGATTAACAACAAATAATGAAAAAAAAATTTGCAACCAAAATATTATAAAGTGCAAGTTTTAATACCATAAAAATATCAGCAACTAACTTTAATATGTTGACAAGAATATTTATGATGTTAAAGTTTGTTCTCTATAATATTTTAGTTGCAAATTTTTTATTATTTATTATTGATCATATGTAACAATTGGTATGTAATTAAAAAGAGTAATTTGGATCTTGTATTAAGTGAAAAATATAAAATGATATACTATTTTTTGATGTTATATGTGATTTGATCCTTAATGATAAACATCAAATTTTAGTATTTTTCTTTAATGTGTGGGTTGGTATTAAATTAATTAAATGATGTAGTAGATGAGGGGCAAGAATAGAATCATATTATTTTCGCTATTTTAATATCACTTTTTAATTATTGATTGGTGCTAAATGCTACAATATAATTAATCTCAACAAATGTTATTGTAATTTTTGAAACTCAGAGGTTTCTGAAATTATTCCTAAAAACCTCGGGGAGGTATCTGAAATTATCCCTAAAAACAAACATTACAGAGGAAATTACAAATTGCACCAAACTTTGAGGGCCTTAAAGTAATTGACCCATTTCTGAAGTAATCTGCCTTCTCTGCTCATTAATTTGCAGGTGTTCTCCGGCTCCATCGGTCTCTCTCTAATACACGTCACTAACTATTTTCAGCGAGAGGTTAAAAATGGTAATTAATTGTAGTTAAATTAAGCAATCCAAAATTAGAGCCGGATTCTATTTCTACGGAATGTTAGATAGAATAGGGAAAGAATTGCCGTGCAAACTTGAGAGTGCCATTTATCACCTGAGGATTAAAGGGTTCCGCTGCAAACTAGAAAGTTAGTAAAATTTTGATCACCTGAAGATTAACAGATCATTGATTTTATTTCAAGATTTTTTGACCCTTTTCAGTTTATTCATTTTTCTGATCAGTTTTAACTTGTGTTTTGCAGCCCAGCTGAATATTGAAAGATGTCCATCAATGCAGATACAGATTCACCAGGTAATCTCTACTAAATGCAAGATTGATTGTATTCTCGATTCAGTTTCTTTAGAATTTTTAACAGGGAAGTTATAAACCAAGTGAAATGGTATAACTTGTACGTTTAAGGTATTTTGTTATCTTAAAATGTACCGCATTAGGCTTAAATCTTGCTTCAGGTGACACATGTCTCTATTTTAATTGTCTACGGAACATAGCTGTTAAGAGTTAAAGATGCTAGAAGTATTTCTTTTCCTGCTAAATATGCTAGGAAGCCAGTTCATGTTGTTCCGCAGACAAAAGTTTGAAAAGAGGAAATGCTGTTTTTAAAGTTGAAACCAGACCTAAGTTTCGGAGGGATCTAAGATGTCCAGGCCCATAGCAGGATATAAGTGATAAGCCTGCCTTTTAAGTATGTAACAGAGACCATATCTTATAATCTTACTGTAATGATGCTGACTTGAATAATTTGCAACATATCAGAAAGAAATGAAGAATAATCTAATTCCAGAAGCCTAGGTGCAGAGTTTCTTTTTTTTTTTTTTGGGTTGTCTCAAATGTGGTTATAATGCCTCAAGCTACAGTAAGAAGATTTAGTGATGCAGATGTTACTGCTCTAGCAGTTTGGAAGTATGTAACTAGCTTTTCTTGTCAGCTGTATCAAGCTTTTGTCTGGATTAGATGTATAGGATTTCAGAGTGTTGCATTGTTTTCTTTTTATTTTCTGTGGGAAGAGAGACTTGGAGAAAAGTTTTATATCTAAGCCTGTAATTATTCTCCCTGCAGATATATTGAAACATCAGACTGGCAATTTAAACATCAGATGAAGGGTGCAGCTACTACATTCCGTAATGAACATGATCCATTTGATTTTATGAGATTTTTATATGGTAGGTTTATGCTTTCTATGTTATTCTTGAATATCATTGTTGGGTGAAAAGAAATGTTAACATAGCATGGTTAACATAAGTTTTGTACCGATGAGCTTTACATCTTCAGACAAAAATTGCTAGAACCTTGTGCATTATGTTGCAAAGACATATTACTACAAAATCTGTTGCTATTTTCATTTATTAATAGCAAGTAGCTACATGCTTTGTATGTCCATATAGTTTTTCAATTCTTTAATTTTGTGGTTGGAATTCTTTTCTTTAGTTTTGGGAAGCAAGTTTTCGGTGGGAATATAAAGGACAACTCAACAATGGAAAGCTTGAAATGAGATTTGACAATAATATTATATAGCATAAAAGTGGCTTTTAATTGGTCTGGATTATGATTTTTGTGGGTTTATCAGCCCTATCTGTCTCCATGTAACCAGATAATTGTCTAATGGATGGTGTAAGTCCTTTTTTTTGGGGGGGGTAAAATAGTGCATGCATTAGTCTCACAATCCAAGCCGCAGGGAATGGTTGTTTTAGATTACATATACTGAAATGTCTTGTATATTGGTTCGTGAAAACAAAACGACCTCTAAACAAAAGTATGTTGAAGTGAGTGCATGAAATTTGAAAGTAGTGTAGTCTGACTGAAGCTTATAGATGAGATGGCTGTGTGGAAATGTCTAAAATTGGGGTTCTTGCTTTGAATAATTGAATTACTACCACATGTTTTAACTTTAGTCGATGCACAAGATTGTACAAGTATTAACAAAGTTCAGGAACTTGACAAATGAACTGTTAGTTCTGCTTGCATTGCTTGGCATCATACTAAAATATTGGTAACTGGCAGTCCTATCATATAGCACTACAATTTATCTGTATAAATGACTGGCATTCTAGATAGAAATGTGTTACCCTTTCATTGGAAAAGTTGTTTTATATATATTGGTAGTTTTGTCCAATCTACAACCCTTTGCAGTATTCCATTGTATGGTTTTGCAGAGGGTGCTGTAGCTGGAGCCACAGCTGGTGTTGTCGTTGAATCTGTTCTGTACCCAATTGACACCATCAAAACAAGACTTCAAGCAGGTTTATTTTGTTAACACATTTTGTTGTAGTCTTGTAGATTAAAAACTAGCTGATTAAAAAGGATCAGATGACAGTTCCACCTGTTGTTTGGTGAAGCTTTACATTGACATATTTCTTCTTGTGAACTGAGGTGATCTGTTTAGCTTTTCATTGTTTTATGGTAGGCAGTTCATGGTGGAGGAAAGATCATATTAAGGGTCTTTACTCCGGATTGGCTGGAAATCTTGTTGGGGTCTTACCGTAAGTACTTATAACTGCAACTGCTGTTTTTCTTGTGCTCTACGAGAAACAGATAGATGATAATGTCATACAATGCAGTCTAAAGTTGATTTGAGCAACCTTGATTATGTAGATTGGGTATAGAGGCTGCAATTATATTGAAGATAACTTCTTCCTGTAGATATGGCCATAATTTGATTTACTAGTTTTCTATGTGTTCTGGGAGAAGTGATGGGACATTTATATTCTTTTCCTAAGAGATATATTATGACCTACACCTATTGTAGCTGGAGAGAGACAAAGAGCCCAAACTAGTGGCAGCATGTTCTTAATCAGAGAGTCTTCAACTTGGCCTTTAAACAAGAAAAACTTCTTTGTTGTGATCCATTAAATAGTTGTCTTAATTGACTGGATCACTTCAAGAATTGGCGCCACTTAGAAATTAGATAGTCATGGCTTTATGCACAGCAGGACATTAAGGGCGCATCTTAAGTGTTTCTTGTGGTACTTCTACATGAGCTTCTCCGGGAATGTATTTTTGAATACAATTGCTTATCATGAGACTAAGTCAGATAATAGGAAACCCATTTGCAGAGTGATGTAGATGGTTTCTTCTGGAATCTCTTGAGTCTTTTTAAGATAACAAGAAGCTTATACATAAGGGAAACTAGTGAAGCTTGTAAGGTTAATGGGTAAGCTTAAGGTATCATGCGGCTGGATGTGTTTATGTGTAATCATTTAAGCAGTCTGCCTCTTTGAATACTGTGAAGCTCTTATGACATGCATTAAAAACTGTTCACCTGGTTTGGTATGATAAGACATACTAAATTTCGAAAATAATGTATGTGCTAAATTTCGAAAATAATGTATGTGCTTTGTTACTCTCCATGATTTACATGTTTGGAGGAAGCAAAATTAATATGTTATTTTTGTTGTCTTTAATTTTTGAGTCTGTGTTTTCTCCTTCTTTAGCTGCCTTTGCAAGTAATATGTGACCACAGAGGCATGAGAAAGTGGTAAATCGAGCCACAGGTTCCTTGGAAGGAGTCTAGAAGGAAGAAATATATAAAGTGGTTCTTAATGATAATTAAGAAACATTGCCTATGGTAGTCTGAAAATGGTTAACTGTGGTGCTTTCTGTTTAATATAGCCAAATTGAATTCTTGAATCCTGACATGGGAATCACTAACATTAGTTGTACAAAAAATTTAATAACTTGTTTATCTATTTATGGTGGCATTATCTGCATCTGCAAGGAACCTGCATAATTTCTGATACCTGTGTTGTACTTTTACTTCTTGCATGAAGAAATTTGTTGAAGCTTTTTGGAGTTATAGTCTTTATGGGAATAACTTTAACTGCTTTTCATTGTTCTTAGCGAGAGTGCAGGACAAGTCTTGACAAATTTTCTAACATTTTGCAGGGCATCGCAATATTTGTTGGTGTATATGAACCCACAAAGCAAATGCTTTTGAAGAGCTTCCCTGAAAGTCTCAGCGCCTTGGCTTATTTGGTTAGTTTTGAAACTATACAATATAAAAGTGCCATCTCTTTAATGGCGTATTACAGTTGCTGCTTCTTGCTAAATTGATTTAACTGCAAATTGTTACATTGATACAACAATGAAGAAATTAAGGAGTTATCTTCCAGTAGCAGATTCTACTCTTTGATTTAAATGCCTCCTGTAGTTCCTATTGGGATGGCTAATTTGTAATTCGAACTAATCATCTTCAAGATCATAATTAACTCCTGTCTCTTTACTTTTCTGCTAACTCCATTTTTTTTTTCCTGATCCAGGAAATCTAATTTTATATCTGCTCAAACTTTTTCATTATTGTTTAAATACGTTTTCATTTGGGGCAAAACTAAGTGTAGATAGCTGATAGGAGTTGTCTAGGAGCTTTAATTGTATTTCTATAGTGATGAAATGAGCTAAATCAAAACTTTCCTATGTCTTATTGACTGAGACAAAAAAGAAATAATTGTCTTCCATGTTTTAATTTGCCATGTTTAAAGATTTTGAATGCTTTTTCAGACAGCAGGTGCTGTGGGTGGGGTGGCATCTTCTATTGTTCGTGTTCCAACTGAGGTATTCAAAGTTGGTTATTCTGTTTTTTTATGGGTGTTGTATGAAATCCTTATCTTTTATAACTACTTAGGTTGTTAAGCAAAGGATGCAGACCGGACAATTTTCATCTGCCCCCAATGCTGTGCACTGTATTGTAGCAAAGGAGGGCTTTAGAGGCCTCTATGCTGTACGCCATGCTCTTATCTTTCAGGGTCTAAATCTTTGTTTAAGGTGCTATAGGTTTTCCATCTTTTGAAAGTCTTTTACTGCACGTTTGCCTTCACCTTTATCTTTACTATTGCAGGGATTTGGATCCTTTCTGTTGCGAGACTTGCCTTTTGATGCTGTACAGTTCTGTATCTATGAGCAGCTTAGAATAGGTTATAAATTAGCGGTAAGAGATCCAAATAATTATTCTTTCATTTACTTAAAGGCCTAATATTTTCCCGTGGAAATGAGATTTTATTTCCTACTTTGATGTAGCAGGCTTGGAAGCATCTCACAAAGTTATAAAATAGCCAAACTAGTCAACCTCTAACAAGATAAACTGAGCACATTCCCATATCTTTTGAAAAAATGAACACTATTGTTGTTCAACTGTGCCACCTGATATTTCCATCTTCTTTTTTCTGGTAATTGGTTGATCTCTGGAAAGATGGCTTGTTAGTGTCACTTGAGTAGAAATCTATGGCTTATTTTGATAATGGATCATTAACAAGGACTAAATTTGTCATGACCATATAAAAGATTTATTGCCTTTGTTCTACAGCTTCTCAGCATCCACTCTACTTTTGAAGTATGGTTATTTATTGTTTTGCTAACTTTTTTGCAGGCTAGAAGAGATCTGAATGATCCTGAAACTGCAATGATTGGTGCTTTTGCTGGTAACTACAATCTTGCACGATTTTGTTTTTGAAATGCATAAGGGTTTCATCAATTAATATTTTCTAGTCTTCTGCAACGCTCAATAGTGGTCAGGTTGTGAAATTTTCCTGATTAGTATGGTTACATATATTAGCTGTAGAGTTTGACATTTGTTATGTTTGTCACCGGTTGCTTTTCTGTTTAATCAATGCTTAAGAAATTGTAAGATACTGCAAAAGCAAGGTTTGAATGCTTATGAATGCTTAAGAGAGTTGACAAGACAATGCGAAATGAGAGGTCAATGCTGTTCTATCCCTTCCACATTGACAAGACGGTGAATTGACTTTCTTGGAAAAGGTATTGTAATGCTCAAACATAGCAACTGGAATGCACCTGCTAGTTGTCTCCTACCCGAAGCTGACTTAACATGGTAAATGTCGTTGAAGTTACCTTGAGATTTGTCCTAAAACAAAACTATTCTGTCTAAGTAAGATGACTACAACTTCTACATCTATGAGTACTAGTCTCTTCATATTACCAGTAAGGGACTGAATTTCATGTTTATACCTTCCTGAAAAATTAAATCAAAATTTAGGAATTATTCTGACAACTGCCCTTGGATTTAAACACTGTTCACAACACAACATTAAAGACTGAGTCAGACAGCTGAAATAATGTGACATATTCAAATTGAAATGGTTTGTACACCAGTGAAGTACAAACCACAATTAATTCTTTTGTGGTAAATGGCAAGTTGATGCACCTGCTCTGTCTCAGATCTATCATGTCTTTGCTTGCACTTTTTAAACATCTCCTGATTAACCTTTCTAATGAAAATGAATTCATTAATAATAGACAATACCATGATCAAATTTTTTTTTCCCGATACGAATTCTATGGTCACTATATTATTGTTTGTGGTTGTGATTCCTACTTCTACTCAGAGTGCTTTGATTCCAAGCTCCTGTTAATGTGGTGGTCTCCATTGCTTCTCACAACTTCAATCCCTGCTTCCTGGTCTCCTTTTTTTTTTTTTTTATAATCCACTCCATGTATGTCCATAGGTTCATCTTTATGAAAGCAGATGCACTCCATTTCACTAGCAGAACCGTCTAATTGCCTTTTCTGCAACTCTAGTTCTAGAACGGTGGGTGCATCATCAGAGGCATGTGGTTACATAGTTCAAATACAAGATACGTTCATAAGAACCCTTGAGAACCTTCCCCATTAACCTTTTTAGCATAACGCTCATTATACTTTTACCAAATTAAAAAGCTCAAGGATCCTTTTGTTAATCTAGTTGCTGATGCTGAACTACTGCACAGGAAATCTTGCCTAATTTGCACACCATGCTGATCCAGGTATTATGCAGTCTGCATCTGACTGCAAAATTGTGATCCTTTGGTGACTAGCAGTGAATTCATTTTTAGTCATCTTACTAATACCTTTCTCAATGTATTTGAATTTGTGAATTCTACTCGTGTGGCTCACTCAATATTAAAGAATGATTAACCATGGTTCCACTTCTTCCCCATGCATATCAGTGAAACTGAACATCCAATCTTATATGGGAATCTCTTGGATTTCTTTCTTGTTAATCAACAGGTGCAATAACTGGAGCTATAACAACTCCATTGGATGTCATAAAGACTAGGTTGATGGTTCAGGTGTGCTTTAATGATTGATGCTTATGCGTTAATCCTTCATTCTTTCTTAAATACATACACATGCTTGACCTTCAGTTGTTTGCCATCTTGTTAATTCTTCAGGGATCTGCAAAGCAGTATGAAGGCATCCTCCACTGTGTTGGTACTATTGTCAGAGAAGAAGGCACCTCCTCTCTTTTTAAGGTGTGTCTACATGTTACACATGATATACCCTGTATCCTTGATTCACAAAGACGATATTGTTAGCCAAGTTTATGTCTTTTACGTTTTCAGGATTCCTATTGATAACTCAAAAGGATATATTGATCTTTTTTGAACTAGTATTATACCTGATTAGTTTAATATGTTGATAGCCATAGAGGAAATACCATTTTCTTTCT